GCAACGAGGGATTGCCCTCTTATCCCATCCACCCTACTCCCCTGATTTAGTACCGGTTTACTTTATTTATGCCCTAAATTAAAAATGTCGATGAAAGAGACGATGATTTGAGGCTGTTTCATCGATCCAACAGACCCTGACGAGAACTGAGGGCCATACGGGAAGAAGCGTTTTATTGGGCATCCGATCCGTTGTATGAGCGATGTAAACGTTGTGCGAAAGCGGGTAGGGACTACATTAAGTGACGGCATTGATAAATACTTTTAATCTCTTTGTGTGATTTTTACGGTCTTAGTTCGGGAACTTAACTGTCACACTGTGTATCATTAGCATCTGATGGTAGGTGTAACGCTGTTGAGATGGTAAAGAAATTGCTGCGAACTTACTGATCCTTGTGGGAAAACCAGGAATGTGTCGTCAATGTATGAGCCACTTAACTGGTCTGTGGTCTGCTGTAGTTCCCCCAAAGTATTCCATTACTGACCACAGGAGACAGTGCGTTTTCTCATTGTCCTACACTCCGTATGCTGATAGAATTTAACCTCAAACTGGAAGTGAGTACTTGTTAAACAAACGTCCAGTAACTCCGTTACGTCTTTAACTTGTGAAGGTGGGCGTTCTGGGGAAGACGAATCTGATCTGAATCTATTTCTTATTATTTGTAAGACTTGTTCCATAGGTACGTTGGTGAATACACCGACAACGTCAAAACTTACAAGACCGTCTTCGTTTTGAGGGTTGATATCCTATATTTACTTCATGGATTGTTCCGAGTTCTTCACGGAGGAGTCTGTGTTGCCAACCAGTGGACTCCTACGTGGGGATAATCTGCTAAGTCGTGACAGGGAGAGTCAATATAGCTAACTATTAGTTTAAAGGGGATGTCAGGTTTGTGTAGCTTTGAAGTTCATATAGGTGAAGTGGTTTACTGGAGTCAGTTTATGTTCCAAGGCAGGATGGAAGGAGAGTTCTGTGCTCGGTAAGTAGTTTCCTTATCTCTAGACATGTCACCATTCGAAATACGCCATGATGTCTTCCTGTACCGTTTCTTGTCTCAGCACTGACGGAAAGTACTTTAACCTGTCAATGCGTCAAACACGTCCTACAAGATCACCTTAAAGGCCCTTTGAATATATCAGCTTAGATTCTTGGCAGCATTTTCCGGAGCCTTACGTCCCAGGATGCAGCCACATTAAAAGAATAAAAGTTCATTCTGAAGAAACATTCGGCGCTACAGATTTAATCCTGCACTGCTCAGGCGCAACAATGAAACGACAACAAAACTGACAATAATGTACACGAAGAACATTCATCTGTTTTATCGTCTGTGACTCGAATTCGGAGGACGAACTGCTCTAATCGCGAAGGAGTGATCGATCATCTCGAATCTTCTGATTATCGATTTTCTTCGTTGCCTTCAAGTGACTTCCTAGGACCGATCGATTATATCCAATTATTTGATTATCGATCTTCTTCGTTGCCTTCAAGTGACTATCTTTATACATAATACTTGAAAGTGGGTAACAACATCCTACCCTCCACTGTCTTCATGCAGCTGAAATAATACGTTATTACCGAGCACGATGGCTCAAGAGGTAACACTTCTGACCTGTACACGGGAGCTGCCTGGTTCCAATGTTTGGCAAGGACAATGTACTGAGTGTAGGTGTTCATGCCACTACACAAATTCTGGGGGAAGCCACCCTAAATTTTGCCATTACCGCCACCTTCCATATCCTTCCCAATTTATTATCACGTAATCATTCTACACTATACAGAGTGTCCCAGGAGGGAAGGTCAGTATTCTGGTGGTAACACTATCGGCCATTCTATGTTTTATTCGAAACGGTTTCCGAGGAAGTGCTATTTCACTGTACAGACGAGCAACACGCCATGTCCTAGCACGAGTTGCAAAGTGCACTAATGCTGACGGTGGAATTTTCGAAAATGTATTGTACTAGGTACGCTGTATCAACATTGTCATTTGAACAGTAAAGGCCGGTATCAGAAACAGTTGGCTCGGTAAGCGCATTCCAGCGGGAGCCAACGCGCGCAACAACAGGGCATATATTGCTAGGCAATGAATCAGTAAACACTCTCGTCCGGTGGCTATATAACGAGAAGTTCCGAGGGAGAAGTTTTTGTCAGAAGGTAAAGAAGAGCTTGCGTTAGTTCCTGTCAAGAATTGGGTCGAGCCCTGGAGATGGCAGTCGAAGGTATTTCAGAAGAAATGGCAAGAAATTACATTTTTGGCTGTGACAAGGAGGTTTCATGTATAATTTGAAGTTACAGTGGAACTGTTATAAATCCGTTGCCACGATACGACTAGTGAAGACTGAGAACCCTACTGCGTGTGTAACGGTGAACCGCGAAGTGCGTAGATCAGGGATAGGGCTGTACGTATAATTGCCTATAGTCCCGAGTTGCGAATGTACAAGGTACAATAAATCCAATCATCTAATCCAGAACCCGTCTATAAGTCACGCACAAACCCTACACGTGACATGTTTTTCTTAACAACAGTTCTGAAAAACGCACAGTGAAACCGTTCAGAACAGAACACACGTACCTATACATTATTTTTGGTTAGAATGACCGATAGTGTGACCTCCCAGTACACGGACCTTTCCTCCTGGTACACCCTGTATGGTTGTGTTACAGAGAAATAAAAATAAACTGGACATCAATACAACGACGTTACAACTTTTACTCCTACTGTTTCCTTCCTGTGCACCGGTACTGTCACCTCGGAAGATCTAATGTCAGGAAGTTAATTTGACTTTTGGATACACTAACAGGGCAAACGGCGCAACAGACACAAGATGGTTCCAGTATGATCAATGCCTAACAGGAGGGATAAAGTCTCGGATATAACTCGTTAATTCCTTTCGTCAACATGTGAAACAATGACAAGTTCCTTCGGGGAGCAAACAGATGCTATGCATGCTGAACACACTCCCTTCAATAAGGGTTGAAGTATTTTTGAGCAATATGCCCAAACGTCTACAGAATTTTGACGGAAGTAAACAAAAATATTGTCAACGTCAATTTAGTGCTCTAACCAATCCTGTTTCAAAGAGCCGGGATAGCTCAGTCGGTATAGCGACTGGCTACGGGCTGGACGACCGAAGGGTCGGAGTTCGAGTCCCGGTAGGGTCAAACATTTTCTCTTCCCTACGTCCAGACCGGCTCTGTGGTCCATCCAACCTCCCATTCAATGGGTTCCGGGGTTCTTTCCCCGTGGGTAAAGCGGCAGTGGCGTGGAGCTGACCACTCACCTCCAACTACTTCCGAGGTCAAGAAAACGTGCGTCTATACATCAACTCCCCCATACGCCTTCATGGCGTAGTGTTTATTTAGTTAAATACAGGAACAGAAGTCCTGTTTTAAATACCAAGGGAAATACAAAGGGGCGAGCTTTTTTTTTTAAACACATACAGAATGTGCACCTGTGTTCTGAAGTGGAGGTAAGGAGGCTAGCAAAGACAGTACTGGACAATTCGATCCCTGACCACTTCATTTAAACGTCTGGAAAATACAGACACTTCCATGTAGCGAGGGAAACTAATAAAAGTCTATTAATTTCAAGTAATTTCCAACTGCAAACCTTGACTAGCGTGCGAAGTTCCTACGCACTGTCCTAGTCACGCACTAACTTGACGGTCGAAACAAGCTAGGGCCCTTTATAAAGCATAAGTGATTGCGTTGTTGGTTTACTGTTAATGATAAGTTTTTGACTGCGTCACGTAATACTTTTCTTCGAATTTCGTTGTAATTCACTACGTAAACACTTAATTTAAACAAAGTCATATTTCACTGATACAGAACAGTGACATCTGCTACGTCTGCTTTAAGAATGTGTTTCTGAGTCACGTATCACGTCGAAAACACGCGGAAAAGTGATCGCGGGAGTGGCTAACGATGTAATGTAATGTAATGTTAGCAATTACCGATAATAAACATACAACACAATCAGTTAAATACCGAATACTCTATGCTCTATGCCTATTACCACGAGTCACCTTTCCATTTCAGTTACATTGTTGTATTCAGTGATTTGCTAAGCCGTAGGCATACCGGCGAAATTGCCAAAAGTCGCACATCTGCCGAGACACTGTATGCTCGGGCCTTTATGCTCAAGAGGGGCGTGAAGTTACCGCCAAACAGGCTTTTAGGGAAACGCGCTGGCTTTATACACCACACTATGAATCTGAGGGGGAAATGACGCACAACTGCTGATTCCTAACCTCTATATTACGCGCGAGTGGCCATCTTCACGTCTCACTTAATTTAACCCCCCCCCCCTCCGGGGCTGAGTGGCCCACGTAGTAGGTCTGGACCCTGCAGAGAAGAGTTAGTCTTTTGCCACTGCAGAGGCAACTCACAAAATTAAAGCAAATCAAATTTAATGTTAAGTCCCTTCAGAAGTTCCTGAGATGAAACGCAGACAGCCATCTGTATCCTACTATCCCACAATGCGTTCATTTCGTACACTTGGCGTGCAGAGTGTACGCTTTCGCAACAAACAATATGCACTCACCGCAGACATAACCACAATGTTACCCCTCAGCCTGCTGAATCAGTCATGCGCATTTTTTTGCAAATACCCTTTCTTTCTAAGACACTAGCTAATGAAATATTCACCCGTTTCCCTCCTACTTATCTCTAGAATGCAGTTACATGGACAAGGGTCGTTAACTGCTGCTACGACGGACGCAGCTATTAACTTCAAATGTGTCACACTCGTCCCAGATGTCATTACTGCACTATTCACAAAAACAGAATTATGACCGCCGTATTCACGACTTTCAGTTAGGTCTGACCTTCAACTTTTCCTTCAGTGATTACCGCAGACAGAACCATTCACACCAACGTAACGACATAACGACCACAACGAATGCCACTATAACACACCGTTAAATGTCACACTAAGAAAAAAAAAAGTATCGATTAAAACACAGCGACTATTTCACTGTATCGACTCCAGAGAGCGCACTTACCTGTACAGCCGCTTGGTTCTCCTTGTCAAGCAGAAACTCCATGGACCTGGCTCTCGAGTCCGCAGGTATTAGGGGGCGGTTGGTGTTGTTGCCCCCCGGGGGTGGTTTGAGGAGCATGGCGGCCGCCCCCAGGTTCAGCAGGCTGCGTGCCTTCTTACTGGAGGGGGCGGCAGCGTTCTGGTGAGGCCGCACTGTGCTGATGTCGGTGTCCAGATCAGTCTCCAGCAATCCGAGCGGCGGATCGATACGGGACATACTTGTGCTATCCTGCTTCCCCTGAAGCTGCAACCCGCTCATAGCTGGCACCGTAGTCGCGTCGGGACGCCGGCGCGGTGATGGAATCGGCTTATTGGCGTTCCCGACATTACTACGTGGCGGTAACGGAGGTAGCGGCGGTTTGCTTGACACGACGACGTCTGGCGCCGGTTTCCTTTCGGCCTCGTCGTCAGGCGGCGGGTGCAGTGGGATAATGGTCACGTCCTCGTATTCCACGGAGGTCACGGCGCCAGGATGCTTCTCATCCCAGCCCCTGCTTTTAGCGTCCATTCTCTTCTCTTTCTGTTTCTTGGAGGAGCCATTGTTTCCCACGACGCGACCGCTGAGTCTCCTCAACGAAAACCTGTGGAAGAAACCTCCGAACCTGCTCTTCTTCCCGCTCGACAAATCACTATCGCGCCGCGAACTTTCACCGCCGCTCTCGAGACCACATCCAACAGCTTTCTGCTGTTTGGTCTCCATGGACACGACGTGAACTGCTGTCTCATTCGGTGCTGGTGCTACAGCCACAGCGGACGTAGTCACGTGACCCTCAGTAGTGGTGGGCGTAACCGGACAGCTGTCTCCAGCGTCCTGTTGCTTTAGCTCCATTACGAGGCGCTCCCTCTCGCTAGAACCAGGGCCTATCGGCAGGCCTATCTGTATCTTCTGCAACAGCAACGTCTGTTTCAGGGGAACCGTCACATCTTCACCTTTCTCCAACGCACATAGGGCTCTGTCCATCTCGTTGGAACCCTTGTTGTCTTCCTGTGGTTCCTCATCGCTGTAACTGTCCCTCCAGCTGACCTCTGACACCACTGGGCAGAAGTGCACCCCTTTACTAGGGACTGCGACAGGGGTCACATTTTCATCCAACTCGTTATTGCTACCGGCAGAGGAATACTTCAGTGGTACCCGAATCGTGGATGAATGTTTCATACACTCTTCCTGACTGCCGTACATGAGATTTGGGCTGCTGGCGGCTGGAAACTTCGTAACCATGTTGTGTGTGTTCAGCTGTTCGTCAGTTGACTGTGTGGCATTCACTTCTTCTTCTTCTTCTTCTTCTTCGCTCTGGCAGTCCGAGAGATCGTCGGGAACACTATGTAGATGTTGACTGTGCGGGGCTCTCCTGTACACTGGCAACATGACTCTTTTCCTTTTCTCCTCTCCTAGCAAAAGACTGGGAGCACTTTGCCAACAGCTGCTGTTAAATTTAGCTCCGTCAACATCCCACCCTCTCCTCTCTCTAAGTTCAAACTCACCATTTAATTTTAGCATCTTCCTCTTCGTAGATGTCGTCGTTTCCCTTCCGCCATGTTTCTCCTGCTCTGATGTTTCGCTACTTGCAACACCACCACCGCCACTACCGCTTCCGGCGCTGCTGTCGGAATAATAAGAAGAACACAAATCTTCGTCTTCAATAATCGTTCCTACAGTACCACCACCACGCGCGCACACACTTGATGACGTCACACCTGCAGGAACACAATGATCACCGAAGCCACTGTCCTCGCTGAGATTCTCAGCGGATCTCTGTGGTTTTGCCTGAACCGAGGGCTCTGTACCGCCGCCACTAATACTACTCGCTTCATTACTCACAACAGACGCCACTTCCGGTGTAGCGCCATCTTTTGTTTCCAGCGGAGAATGTGCTGCAACTGTTACTACCGACGTTGACAGATCATCTGTTGTTACGCTCAGGATATCCTGCTGCCCCGCAGGATGGCCGTGGAGATGAAGAGAATTATTGGTGAGAGACTGAGAGAGTTCGGCCAGCGAATGGTGGTGCTGTTGCGGCTGCAGCAGGTTCAGGCTGTCAAAACTTCTGAAGGACTTGAGGCGGCTGTTAGACGACCGGAAGCTGCTACGTGAGGACCACGACGAATGCTGGAGCGTGTCGTCGGAAGAGGCACATTCATCACTACTCACAGCATCCGACTCACTGTCCGAATTGTCCTCATCCAGGGAATCGGGGGACGTGGAGAATCTCCACCGATTCGATTCCAGGGAATCGAAACTGAAATTTGACATCACGGAGGGGGAGGGCGGGGGAAATTGAGAACTGTCGTGAAAAGGATCGGATGTTGCGGATGTGCGGAAAACATCCTCGCAGTGTTTCTCTAGGCACTCGAACTGCAGTAGACTCGATGAACGGGAGGAGAGAGACGCAGATTCGACGTCGAGGTCCCCGGATATGTCCTGATCGTCGTCCATGTCTTGCTGATCTGTTGTCCGGCGGCGGCGTTTCTTTGGCACGGCGAAGTCTCGCTCCGAGCCGCTCCAATCAGGCGGATCTCGAGAATCTGCAATCACAGCAACGATGCGGGTTGACTCAGCGAACAAGCAGAACCGGTAGAGCGCGTGACAACACACTTCAGCAAGCAGGGAAAATAAAATTAAGTGTTAATTATAAATATTTTATTGTAGCATGCTGTTGCACTCTTCACTTAGTGTTTTAATCAGTACTGCAGTCTTACGTGCAACAATTTATAAAAACTTAATAGAAGCAAGTCACTTTAAAAGTTTTCACATGTTTCGACCAAAGCGGTCATCATCAGGTGTTAAAAGTTTGTGGGTGGGGAATTGTTGTCTTTCTCCGTTGATATTTAATTGAGGTATGGGTCCCCTAGTGCGCATGCGTGTATTCCTCCTTGCCGCATCTACGCAAAGAGAGAGCAGTTTTCTCACCCACAAAAGTTTAATACCTGATGATGACCGCTTTGGTCGAAACATGTCATGAAAACTTTTAAAGCGACTACCTTCTATTAATATAAAACATTACTAACTTCAATATTATATTTAAGCATCCTGTTACACTCACACAATATATATGAGACAAACTCCGTCTTAAGTGCAACAATTTAATTGTAGTTCTTTCTTCTTCCATTCCTCCACACTACATGTTTCGGCCCTAAATGGCCATCATCAGGTGTGTATTCTTACGTAGCTGCTACACTGCCCGTAGTTTAAAATTTAAAATCACCGGTCTTTCCAGTTGTATGTATGTATAACATCTGTGTTAACCTACACGCGTCAATTTGATTTCTAAAATTGGCACTTTTTTAAAATTCAATTCAAATTAAAATGTCTATAAATTTTCTGTTCTTTTTCTTTTTCCAAATTTTTNCATTTAGGGCCGAAACATGTAGTGTGGAGGAAAGGAAGAAGAAAGAACTACAATTAAATTGTTGCACTTAAGACGGAGTTTGTCTCATATATATTACTAACACTGCCCAATGTGACTAAAAAAATGCTTTTTTAATCTCTCATCCTTGACATGTTTCGGTCTTGGAGACCATCTTCGGAAGGACATTATCAGTACATATAGACACTACTATCAGTGTCAAGTATAAAATATTATCCTGTAACAATTACTACGATGTACACGAATTTGTTGAAATATTTATAAATTATTATAAATAGTCTATTTACAAAGCACTGTTTAAAAACATTTTGTTAAAATCTAGAACCAACTTCGTTCGTGTCCTTTACACTACTTATAATAATTTATAAATGTTTTAACAAATTCATGCACATCGTAGTAATAGTTACATGATAATAGTTTATACCTATGACACTGACAGTAGTATCTGTAAGTACTGACAATGTCCTGAAGATGGTCGCTTCGACCGAAACATGTTAAGGATGTGGGGGACTAAAACACAATATTTACCAACCACACTGGACGGTGTTAATAGTCTTTTATACTACTGCTATTTGACGGGACAGGACGAACTAAGTCAGCTTCTATTAAGTTTCAATAAACTGTTGCACACAGGACAGTAGAACTAATTAAAAACACTAAGAGCTCAGTCGGTATAGTGACTAGCCACTGGCTGGATGAACAAGGGGTCGGAGTTCTAGTCCCGGTGGGGCCAAGAATTTTCACTTCTCCATGTCGTCCAGACCGGATGTGGGGTCCACCCAACCTCCTATCCAATGGGTACCGGAGGCTCATCCCCTGGGGGGTAAAGCGGCCGGGGCGTGAAGTGCCGAGGTCAAGAAAATGTGGATGTATACAACTACTCCCTCATACGCCTTCATGGCGTACTACTTAATTAATTAAGCACGGGGAAAACTTTACTTTTTTACATTAATCCAACATGCGTGGGGCACGCGGTAGGGTAGTTGGCTGAGGCATTATGCTACAAGACGGAAGGTCGTGGCTTCGATTACGATGAGGGCACTGGATTTTTCGATTCGCCTAATAATCCTTCTAGCCGCACTATGGCCCTAGGATCGACTCAGCGTCTAACACAAATGAATACCAGGTATCTTTGTGTGGGGTAAAGAGCGACGGGGGCGTATGGCTAACCTCACCGCCATCTGTGAGCCGACTGTCTAGAAAATGTGTGAGAGCCCTGACGTCTCACAACCATATGGGCCTCCACGGCCCGTTGCAGGGATATTTAAACCAAATTACGTAATATGTTAAGTCCACACGACTATGCCCTGCATACAAGAACACTAAGACATTAGTTTTTGGTTTTCTGGGGTGGGGTGAGACTGAGTCCACTTCGTACTGCGGCAACTGCTCGGTCTACTGTACCAGCCCCGAATAATAGATCATGAATGTGGAGCAGTCGGTCTAATGAGAGGAGAAACCGAAGCAATCTGAGAAAACCTGCCCCAGTGCCGCCACAAACTGAACATGACCTGACCCGGGCTCGAACCCGGGCCGCCGAGTTGGGAAGCCGGCGACTAACCGCCTGAGCCATGGCACGGCCAACTAAGACATTAAGAAAACTGTGAGTGTTACAACAGCAAGTTTTGTTACCACTATAACCGGTTTAGTTTATAGAGAAGTTTCGTCATAGAAAGAAGTTAGAATTTGTTGTGGTCTCAAGCACAAGCAAGCATTCAAGTGTGTGTGTGTGTGTGTGTGTGTGTGTGAGGGGGTGGGGGTGGTGGTCAGAGAGACAACATTCACTTCCTAACTCAGCTGCAAGTTAACTGCCGTTACGTAACCTAAACAGCCGGGGGCTCAGTGTCACACACCAAAGACCCTTACTAGTTATGCTAGTTACCTTCCTACCGGCAGTGTAGTTCGATAGTGTAGGAAAAATTACTGACTGACGTTCTTCGTCGCTCAGTCTTTCCGCTTCGAATTTCCTTGGCTTACATAGCCTGTGCAGGAAACCAAACTGTGAATCTGAAACCGGCTTGTTTGCATTCAAACCGCTGAGAGCATTCTGCTGAGAAATAAACATTAATCGGTCATTTTTGGCAACTTCCGTAGATCTGAGAAAGCTACCCAATTCTCTCTCCTCTCTACGATGGACAGTCGGTAAACTGGACACAAGGCCGCGCCATAGCTCAAGCGGTTAGTCGCTGGTTTCGCACTGTGGCAGCCCGGGTTCGATCCCGGGTCTGGTCAAGTGAGATTCGTAGTGCACAAAGTGGCGCTGGGGCAGGTTTTCTCCAAGTACTTCGGTTTCCCCTGCCAATCTTCATTCCACCAATTGCTCCACAATCACCCTCACCTATCATCTGGGGCTGGTACAATAGGCCAGAAGCGGCCGCAGTACAAGGGACTTAGTCCCACCCCAATAGCAATAAAGAAAAAATTGGACACAAACTGATATAAAACGTAAAAACACGTGATATTCGAACCTGGGCGGGGGGATCTGTCGACATATCCTCCACCAACATTGATACGCTTGTCAAATCGCTTTTACCAGTGCGTCGAAACCCGCAGCACAGAAGTCTTCTGACGCTTTTGACTGTTGTCTCAGCCACTTCCACACCTGGTCGGTCACCTGCGACTTTCGAACGTCCTTGAGATAACTTCTCGACCCACTTGCGAACGGCTTTACGCGACACACACTTCCCACCGTAAACAACAAACGTTTCTCTATGAATATATTTTGCATTCAATCCTTTCGCCCACCAAAAAACATACAACAGTACGCTACTCTTCGGTAGTATACGCTTTAAGCCATTCTGAATGCTGACACCAGCCTCTGAACATGCGCATGCGCGTCTGCTGCCTTGAATGTCATGAAGGTGGACTGTGCTGCTACCTAGTGATACACATAGAAAAACTAATACGTCCATTACAGCTGTTTTACTTCCATTTCTGATCTATTTACTGACTCTCCCTCGTACAAACATAACGTCCCAAGCGAAGTTAATGAAGTTTCAGTGATCTTACAGCATTAAATCTGAAGAGACACTGCGCACTACTTCGGTTAACATGTAACAATTCAAAAAGAAATCAGAACACATGACAATGGGATGGGGGAAGGGTGGAGTAACGAGACGTGTTGCTAAAACAACAATCTAAGCTAAATCTAACACCCCAAGCTAAATAAAATAAATGCAACACTATCAGCCGCAAGTCCAATACTAGGCAATCTCCTATTACATATTTCTGCACCGATTTTCCTGAATTTCTTTGTCCAATTATATCTCTCTTTGTATCTCAAGACGTGAGTCCAATCTCCCCTTGGCTGCGTATGTACTTACCGCTCCTCTTAACTCCCGCTTCAGTTGTCAAACCCATTTTCGATCATACTGTCATGTGAGTGAGTGACTATAGACGGGGTGTGAATTGGTTGGCGAATTTACTGAACACTTACAGAACTTAACTACAGGGCGGACAATTTCTTCATTAGCTGTTGCTTCATAGCGGCTTCCAATGGCGGACGTTCTCTTTCCTCTGCGATCCCGAACTCCACTGCCTCAGTTACCAACTTCTCATTTCTCTCAACCGCAACTCTAAACTGACTCAACCAGTCACTCTCAGAATCAGAGTTTCTTTACGGCTGGCGGTTTACTGCCAGTCATGTCGTCTTGGCGAGAAGCCCATTGAGACTCACGACCAGTATTTTTTTTTCCCAACTTAACACTTGCGGTCATAGTTCTTATGTAACATCCTCTGATGAGAGGATGGTTCTGTCGTTTACAATTGCTACTGGTCCTCGCCAGGGCAGTCATTCTCAGGTCCGCGGAATTCATGATCACATTTTACTGTCTCAGATGCAAGACTCCACAACCGTGGAGGTCCCCGTATTTATATGCCTCAGGAACAGGGTGGCCCAGTTATACCCTCAGGTACTGGGTTCCCTTTTCGTCGGCTGCTTCGACTCGCAGGACTACGGTGGAGGTGTTCGACCCCGCCTCCACACTCAAAGTTATGTTATGACGGACGATCGTTCGTCCAGTCTGTCTTGGAATAAATCTGCTATAAATGGCAGGATTTAGATGGCTTTGCTTTATGAATCGAGATAAAATGAATCGCTTTGGTGCAATACAGAACTGAACTTTTCACACTGAGATCCTTTCTGCAACCGTAGCTTTGTCTGTACGGTCAAGGGCGATAAACTGAAGACAGACGGAGTTTTATTGAGCAATATGTCATAAAAAGCGAGAGATTCCGACTAGAAATATTTGTAACTTGCATATTATTCAATTTCTGAAAACATGAAGCAAAGTGCCCTAAAATGGCTAAAATGACAAAAAATACCCTTAAAAGTCCAAAAATTTACTGAAAAATGACATAGAAACTTAAAAATGACAACAACAAAAAAGACCTATAAAAGTGACATTTCTGTAACCAGCAGCTCATCTCCGGGATTTATATATTTACGGGCATCGAATAGGATACAAAGGAAAAAAGATGACATGTCATCAAAATCCGGGCCCTGGTAATAACACTTTCTTCGCCGAATCATTTCGTGTGCTTCCTACCACTGGGATTACAGCTGGATGATGTACGGCACGCCACCACGGTACCTAACCGAACAGGTGATATCAAAACACAGCAAAATCAGACATACCCAGGTTGTTCGGTACATGAATAACACTCTCAGTGTCGGAGTCGCTATCGGCCCAACCCGCGGGCCCTGATCGATCTGATTCGCTTCGAAGGTCGTCTGATGTCTCCTCTACAATCGTCTCGAGGAAGAGGAACTGCTGCTGCGGGCCACCGATTAACACTGTCCCGCCATCTGTGGACAGATACAAAAAACAAAAGGTTGTAACCACAGCCAAACACAGTTCTGCCACCTAGCAGAAGTAACTCAAACCATCTTGCATCTCCTCCGAGAAGTGACATGTACTCTTCGTGGTTTGGGCATTTCAGTGCCACCGTTTCGTTATCGTTGGACCATGATTACTTACGACATAAAGTGGAATTCGAAACTCGGTTCGCTCTTTGGCTGATTTATGAGAAAACAAAACCTCTTTGTGTGTTGTTCGTTAACGTATTGTTTTCTGGACATTCAGTCTTAAGTACACGCCTTCGAACAAACACATACGCCTATTCACAGCGAACTTAAGGTGCCTGACAATGAACTGCACCATCGTCGAGTCACTTGTATTCTACCACCAAGATTCTCGACCTTTTCAAGGTGCAGCACAACCATCATTGGGACGAGGGCACACCAAGGAAACTGGAAACCGCAATTTCCGAGAAATGTCGCCGATTTCAGGCACGCAACTGGTTTCCAGATTAGCAGGCGCACACTGAGGAAACTTACGCTTGATTTAGTTGCTCGCGTCATCTCAAGTGGGTATGTTTATCCGGCGTAATGCATGACTGTATTTGCTAATTTCGTGCACTTACCTTCTGCAAGAGCAGATAACAGTCCTGATCCTGTCATAATGTGGTGCTGGTTGAGACCGGTTGAGACGGCGTGAGAAGAGAGGGCGAACAAAATAGGGAAAATATTCGAATGTTAATTAATTTGTTTTAATTAAGGTCAATTTATTTTAATCGGGAAATATCACGTTCACACGCGATACGAAATTCTGACATACAGTGCAACAATTTTAGCAAGACAGAAGACACCTGATGATGGCCGTATACAGCCGAACCATGTAATGTGGAAGAAGGGTGACTAATAAGTTGAATTTAAGACGGAAATACGTGTGAATTAAATTATACATTAATGCAACAGGATGCTTAAATACAGTATTAGGAAAAGAAAACATTGGGTGCATCGTTCTCCTGTGACAGTTTAAACTGAAGCGCTGATATTGTTTCGAAAGAACTTAACCTGGATCAAGAGTCCTTCGTCTCATGAGAAATTCTTTCCCTAGCCGAATCTATTTTGTCCCGCCTAGCACAGTCTAGGTGGCGTTTGTCATATATAGCAGTCTCTTTCTCAATTAACTGCACAAAAACAGAATTAGCAGCTTCGTGACCACCTTAACAAACAAACGATCAGTGAAGGGCGTTACAGAACAGCTGACACTAGGAAACCAAGCCGAAACGCAGTTGTGAGAAGACTGGCATGCTCCGTTGCCGGGAAATTGAGTTTCTCAGTCTCTCGGCGAGTTGCGTTTCCGTTCCCTCAATTTGCGCTGCTCCATTCAGTATCATGTGTTCAATTCAGGCTGATAACAATTCGGCCTGAAGAAGGTAAACTATGCGGAAATTAAGGAAGACTTATACAGGGTTATTCATAAGTCCGTGAAACATTTTGAAAATTTACAATAAATAAACTACGCAACGGATACCAAATTTTATTACACTGAAATAAAGATAAACTCTCCATGTTTGTTTTACATAGTTCACAGATGTTCAATGTGTCCACCTTTGCTAATACGGCAGACATCTATGCAATAATCCATTTGGTCCCACACCCGTGTTAGCATATCACAGTCGAGCAGAGCCACAGCAACGGTGATACGGTTGCGAAGATCCCAGAGATTAGCAGGCAATGGCGGCTTTCAAAAAATTTGGAAAGATTCATTCTCTATCGGCGTAAGAATTACCATGATCCGATGCATAGTTTCTTTGTTGTGAATTTTTAAAATGTTTCAGGGACTTATGAATAACCCTGTATAAAGGTTTGCAACTGTGTACACTGGGAAGTATTATAGAGAATACTGAAAAATCGTGAAAGGTTATTACGAATTAAAAGCAGCATAAACCATGTGTGACATAGCACGCAAGCAGAATAAGAGTAAGATGCGCAAACAGCATCACTACGCCATCTAACACTGTTCTGCTAACGTCGAGGGTACACTTTCATTCAGGGGCACGCTACACTGAAGAGCCGAATCTTCTGTCCACGAGAAACAATGAAGTTAGCAATAACTGTCACAATTCCCATCTCTAGCAAAAGTCTTCGCCGGGTGTCTTTTCCCCATAAAGCCTAGTCGTGTAGAACGCAATAGAACGGACGGGCAGTAACTTCTCACATAATGCGACATGCCACCGTCCGTTGTAACCGATATGATTGAAGTTCCGACAAACAAGGAAGCACTGCTCTACATACATATTAATCCTTTAAAACCCAGTGGTCACTATACATACCACCTACTTTAACATACTGTCGCGTGTAGGGGGGTACGCGTGATGAAAATAACGGGTTCTAGATGGGATGATTGGATTTAATGGCGCTTCGGTTACAATCTCCCTTAATCACATTCAACTGGAACACTATCGCTATTCTACACACTCTCAGTTCACCGCTGCACACGCACTGGGATTCTCCGTCTTCACTAGTCGTCTCCTGGCAACGGATCTTAACACAGTAACTAACACTTCAACTCACTACGGAGTTTTCTTGTCATTTCTTGTTCAATCATCGTGGAACCTTGGAACTCAACTAAAAACTCTCCTGGACCCGTCACTAATCTAAGCTACAACAGGACTTCGTTATGCAGGCTTCGCACGGACAACAAAGAAAACAAGAGTTCCTCTGTCGCGTAGCGCAGACCACACAGAAAACAAGTCATATGATAGCTAAGTACTGTTACAATGTGACGTTATAGCGCCTGCACGGAAGCGTTTGCCAAGCCGTTGCCTAGAAGCGGGTTGCATAACCCCGTTGTTCCAGTGTTGGTGCGTACGGCTGTTTCTGTAACTCAACCGTTCTCGCATGGGGCAAATACGCCACAATATTAAAATTCTACTTTCTGCCCAAAGAATGTATTTGTGTGTTCAGTATGGTTCTCACAGACTGTTTCGCTAAACAGCATTAACCGGTTTGTCTTTGTAGCGGAGACGTAATGTGTTTCCTGTTAGGTACGGACTGGATCTGTGTGTTCCGTATGGTTTTCACAATAAACAGCGACTGTTTCCCTAACAGCATTAACCGGTTGGACTTTGTAGCGGAGACGTAACGTGTTTTCCTGTTAGGTACGGACTGGATCTGTGTGTTCCGTAAGGGTTTCACAATAAACAGCGACTGTTTCGCTAAACAGCATTAACCGGTTGGTCTTTGTAGCGGAGACGTAATGTGTTTCCTGTTAGGTACGGATGGGATCTGTGTGTTCCGTATGGTTTTCACAATAAACAGCGACTGTTTCCCTAAACAGCATTAACCGATTAGGCTTTGTAGCAGAGACGTAATGTGTCCTGTGAGGTACGGACTGAATACTTATTATATAGAAGAAATCATGTCCGTCTTTAAAGGATTGTTAACCTTCAGCTGTATCGAAGAAAATGAGCAACTTGATCAGGTCTTTGTTTGCATCATGTGCCGGTTACATGGCTTTTACAGCAATCCTAACTTACCTATTGCCCCTGAGATCTGAGGTACTCACTGCAGTGACTATTAAGATCACTGTATTCTGGGATGTCAAGACGTGCTGTCTGGTAAATACATACTGTGACATGACGCCCGAAAGCCTGAAAAGTGAAGTCAGAATAGGCGTTCACTGACAGGCAACGACTCGGTAAACACATTCCCGTGGCAACACATACGCAAGCAACAATCGAGTAACCTCCGTTGCTATGCAATGGCGCTATAAACACGGCTTGTACCATAGTGCCTCGACCAACTACGCTACGGCGTGTTCTTTATGCTAGCCAGCTAAGGTGGCCGGTCTTGAGTGCAATCACACGGACAGGTTTTGCTGCAGTGAACAACCAAGTTAATCCTCAACGCTGCATTAACCATCGGACGTGACGTGACGTCATCTCGGGCTGACTCACAGAACAAGACAACAGACCAGCATTTGTTGCTAAAATATGCAAGTGCCGACACAATGAACGCAGTCAGAGGCTCTGTGTTTTAGGCGTACACGCATGCGCTGCATGTATTTTTGTGACACGTCCATTCTACAGTTTGGTACACAAGACTGGTATCCCAAAGCGTTAAGTCCACTACCAATATTACAATGGGTGCCGTTACTAGGTCCTGTTCAATTGGCAGCAAAAAACATACGTGCGCCTTTCAACCTATATCGGCGTCGAGTAAAGTAAAGCTATCCCTGTAACAGGCTGTCGAGGCTCCCACAGTTTGAATAAATGACTGAACGAATGAATGCATAATAGGTGGGCCCTTCCGGCCCTTGTACTGCGACTTTCAGTGATCTATTGTGCTTCTCCTTTGATTTAACCCTTTATCAATCCTACACTTCGAATGAAATGTAGGACTTCGTTTATGGGGGCGTCATAAAAGTCACCTGGCTCAATAAGATAATGACCCAGATGACAAAATGTTTTAAGCAAGCTATGGCCTCACAGTCACAAAGGATATGTGTGGCTGATTCATCATTTTCTGGGCACCTTTCACAGGCTGGGTCATCTGTCAATCCAGTTTTTAAAAATGTCCTTTTAGGTGGCAATGTCCTCTAAATAGTCCTAACCCGCATCTTAATTCGTTTCTACTGAATTTTAACAGATCAGAGAGGGTGCCCCCACGAAAACAAGACTGTAACTGTCAAAGAGCAATAAATATCTGGTTATGGGCCCCATATGGGGCTCGACTCCAACAAGTACTGACTGACTGACTGACTGTCAGTTGCAATGTGACTTTGACTTAACAGCTCATTTCTTCCACTGCCAGAGGGCCCTAGTATAAGTCCCTTTGCCTGTTTGAGTCCAGTTCTGCATTCGGTGAAAACGATCATCTTCAGAAGCATATCATCAACACACATGAAACTACTATTGCCATATCATGGTTATAGATGTTACATATTTAAGATGTACATTGATTTCTTAAAAGATCTACAAATTACAATCAGTTTGTTTACAAAGTAATGATCAATG